TAATAAACACACACACACACACACACACACACTCACATACGCACATAGACACACACACACATTGACACACACACACACACCCCTCTACTTCATACTGAAATTTGTATCACTTGATACAGAAATTTATGTGTGTAATCTTTCAGATAACTACACTCAAATATAAATATTTGATATACAAGAGGTCCACATTTTATAATGGCAAAACATCCAGACCTTGCTTGGTATGTTTTATTATATCATCCTTAGCCATCTCTCCCTTTGTTCTCTTTGCTTCAAACTATTCTCTCTTTATAGTCTTTCCCCACTTTCCCTTTATCACCTAGAGTCATTTCCCATTTGCATTTTTCTCAGACTGTCTCCCTCAGTTTTGCTGTTAAATTTTCAACCTTACTTTAACAAAAATTAAAGTGGTCATGTAAAAATCAAATCTCCAAATTACGAAAGAGTGAAATATAGAAACATGAAAAAGTACCTGTAAAATTTCACTGCTCCAATATTTGGACCCCGGAAAGGTATAGTTTAACTGCTGTTCTCTGCCATTATAATATATAAAAGGTAACATCTGTTGCAGGATAATTTAAAAACAATTGCTAAATATGTAATATTTGGACGTGTCATTTTATTTTCTGTTTTAGAAAACATAGTCTCAGAAGTCACATTCCATTATTGGCTTTAGTGCTAGCTGGAATGCTAGTATTCCTCCTTTGGACTCAAATAGATTTTTCTCTTTTTAAGTTGTTCATACACATCTAGTAGAAAACACAAAAACAAATGAGATATTCCTTTGTTAAGTGTTCACTGCAATATCCTTATTGCTTTAAAACTGTAAGATTTGTTCTCTCAGGAGAAACCTATTTCAGAAATAATTATCTTTGTTTTGGAGTCAAACAAACAATACATTGTGAAACTGAAATCTCATTGGAGGCTCAAGCTCATAACACCAAATAATAAATATATTTGTATTCTCTGATACTTGAGTGATTTAATTTTAATGTTCTGTCTTCCCTTAAAACACGCATATTATACAGTTTTAAATGGCAGATTTTCTTTTTAGTTTATAGTAAAATGTGTTTTAAATTCTTAGAGGGAAAAGCATTGGGAAAAGAGGGTAGTTGCATTTTTAAAATATGATTTTATAAACTTATTTGCATATGTTTAAATTTTTTCTTTGCGAATTTAGTAGAAAATATTACTTGGAATTTTAAGGAAACAGCATGATCAATTCAGAACTTACATCTCCAACTCCAGTGAAATAACCTACTTTTCCATAATTTTTTTTGGCTCTGTGGGCTGAGGAGGCAGCATCTACTGACAGTCACTGTATTGTTTGCTAGTTTCAGTGAAGGTACACAGTGAGTAAGTGGAGTCAGTCCAGTACTCCAGCAGACTTAGAACACAAGGAAGGGTTTGTGAAGGCTCTTACTTTATCTGTAATAAAACGTATGACAGGTTAAAGTACTTCTCAGCTCTTGATACCTTTGTTATACAGAAATTAAAGACTGGCTGAATTGACTATTGCTAAGAAACATGCTTCTAGGTAAGTAACATAACTAACAAACGGTAGATTTGTTCTAAAGTGTTAGCAAATATATAGAGAGGTAAACTTGGCTTTGTAATTTTCCAGATTTGTACAGATTTTATACAGTACTGGGCAATGCCATAATTAGTATTATTTGTCCTACTAAGATTTTAGGCAATGAGTTTTGCCAAAAGTCAACTTAGAATGATCTTGGAAATATGTGTGTAAGTTAAAGAGGCATTCGTGATTAGGATAACTATACTTTATTCCTTCCGTAAGGATGAGTGAAACATTTTGAGGATTAATCAGTAGTTGTTATAGACAACAGTCTTCATGATCTAAATGTTAATGTGACTTCTGCTTTAAGAATATGTTGGTCTTACATATGTTGTTAAAATGCTATGATATGTCTTCTAAAAAGGGCTGATTCTACATGATTATGTGATTGATGTTTAAAATATATATAAATGGCCAGATCAGTTTAAAATTTAGTTTCTAGTAGTAGACCACTGAAAAGGTAAAGTGTAAGTATGCTGCATAGTTTTAGTAATATTCACAATATACAATATAAGGTCTTTTTAAATATATCATTTGCATGCATTAGTTTTAATAGAAATGTGGCAAAACCTTTCAAAGATCTGATATAGGAAGCTTTCTCACTTTATAGAGGAGCATAATTAAGAATTTCGCTGGAAGCTACATAAACATTTTTAAAATGCTTCATTGATAAAATGCTTTTTTTTTTACTCTCAGTATTGTGAAATACTGGCTGACTTTTATGCCTTGGATCATTTACTTAAAAAGCATTTTCCTAATAGAATAAATCAGTAAATAGACAATGAGTTGAGGAATTTTCCAGTTAATAAAGGCTAAATAAACATCTGAAACCTCCAGGAAATTAAGTGAAAACATCTCTTATTACAATGGTTATACTTTGACCAGTTGTACACATTATTTCCCATGTGAGAACAATTTCAGTCTTTATTTTGGAGTTATTCATAAAATCACTATTTAGGTATGTTCGATAACCCATATGGGACATAGTTAACATACCTATGTTAATAGTTTAAGACACAAATATTTTTACTTTATTGTGTGTAATTAAATAACATAAATATTAGGTTAATCTGCACAGAGAAAGCCTATAATTGATGATATATGTTATGGGTCAATGTTTTGCTGTAACTTTAAGCCTATTTATTATTCTACTTGGCAACAGTATACTGTTAATGAAGAAAATACTGGTCTAAAAATTAGGAAACCCAAGTTTAGGTTGCAGATCTCAATACTACTCCTAACCATTGGGTTACCTCCTCTATCTAATGATTTCTTAGATTTTTACTTTATTTTTTGCCATTTCACTTCTATCCTCATAGTTTTTATTATCCTGTCATATTCGGGGCACTATTTACATGTATGAAACACACATGTATTTTATACAAAACATTTTAAACAAAGGCCATCCTTTTACATGGGGACTCCCTTTAGATCATAAGATTCAATGCCATTGGTGGGAAATGAGTGATGTAGGCAATTTAGGACAGGAATCCAGGACTCTGGAAAGTACACCTATATTTGTGTTCAGTAGCTGCCATTATGTTTATCATTTACCAAAGTCCTGATACACATGACATGCATGTATTTCACAGCCTTCAAAGTCAGAAAATTCTGACAAATACTCATTCGAAGACTTTTTTTTTTTTTTAAGTGATTCTTCGGTTGAAACCAGTATCTTCTCACAAGCAAAATCTCAATTTGTTACACACCATATCCATTACCTCTCCACTTGCCCAAGATATCTTTATTTTATTATAAATTAAAAGTTTGCAGACTTGAGTCCTTCCATCATTTCACGGAGATAAATATTAGGTTAATCTGCACAGAGAAAGCCTATAATTGTTTCACTGTGGCTAAGGTGTCAAAGCATGATGACAGGAGTGTGAATTCCACTTCCTCCATTTCTGAGTAGGAAAATCACCCATCCTTTCTACATTCATTTCCTCTGTGAATGAAGATACAAGTATTTATCTCATAGGATTGCTATAAGGGTTAAATAGGTAATATTTATAAATGTCAACTGTTGTACTTGAGCATTTAAGGTGATGACCAATAAACAGTAGACAGTGATTGTTGTATTACTAAATTATCAACTGTTGATTTCTATTTGGATTCACATAGTTTCCTGGATTGCTGAAACTATATGCATTCTATGAAGTTATTTGCTCCAGTGTTTCAATAAAATGAGTGAATTATTTTCCTCTGTGAATTTAGAATGAACCAGAGCTAACTCTAAATTACAGTTGTGAGCTATAATTACTTCAATGGTTAAGACCATTTTGGCCTCTGGGAGTGAAAATTTATATTTTACAGAGCATGTGAAAGAAG